TCTTTCTCCATTTTGCAAATATAGGTCTAGCACATCATCTATGTTTTGCTCTAGGAACTAAATCATATAGAGCGAGCATATAATTTTTTTTAGAATAAATGAAATGACTTTAAAATTTTTAAAATTAATATAATATATTTAGTTACCTTTTGCCTATTTGTTGTGAATGTCTATCCATATCTATTACCATATGTAGTTCCAACATCTTCTATCAAATAATTAATAAACCATACTTTTTGAACATGTTTAAACGTTTCTCATCTTTTTTTGTCTCAAGAATGACGGTATTATTAGCATTACGTCTCCTTAATTCAATCACATAATCTTCAAGCCTTCGAAACTCATTCCGTATATCTTCGGCATACATCAGATTCATTAAATTTTTAGCATACTTAGCTTATGAAATTGTAATATGTACTTTTAAATATGCCATATTATCTAGTATAATCTAATGTAACTTCTTATTCAATGCGGTTCTTTCAATTTTTTTCATAAAATATTCCGTAAGTACTTTGTAACTAACCTTAGAATTTGTGAAAGACCGATCAAATGTGTGTTCCTCACGGTAAGTCTTCACATTCATTTTTTACTTTTCTCATCAATAGAAATCAATAGCTTTTAAGGATAAATTTTATATTTACAAACTATCCTATATCTATAACCATCATTCTTTATAAGCTTCAAATCTCTCCTACTATGGATGACATACTTAATCATAGTAGCTCTAACTTTATTCTTGTTCTTAAAAATCATGAAAAGCTAAAAATGAGGAACATCGATTGCTAGGTCATATCCGACCAATCTAGTTCTTTTTCTAATCTTAGGCTCTTTATCATTGTTGGATATATATTTCTCCCTTCTTTTTTTTAATTGTAATACTCCTCATTTAATTCAGCTTTTAGGTTTGCCAACTTCTCTCTTAATTTCTTTCTTTCTTAAAAATTATTCTTTTCGTTTTCACTCAAATTTCCCCTATAGTTCCCTCCATATTTCCCTTCAAATTTACCTCGATATTTTCCACTAAATTTCGTTGTACGATTATATTAACTTTACCCGAGACTAATTTTATCTTTTTAATATTTTCTCTAACTTCTTTTGATTCCTCATCATTTGACATCCATTGGACATTCACCTAGTATTCAACATCATTATATGGCTTCTCATCCGGCTCCATAATAGTTTATTTATTGACATTCGACTAACGCCATATAATCGGATACTACTACCCTCACTAATATTCATAACACTATAAGCCTACCTATACGAATTTTACTACCCTCACTTTGTTCCATGACAATAGAACCTTGAACCAAATGGAGAATACTATCCACAATATTAGACATATTTATTTCTTAAATTACATTTCATATTCCTACTCATAACTAAGCTTACCAACCCATCGCCCATATTCATTGATTCCAAGCCTATTACATACGACTTTTGGGTTATCATAACCAAGCAAGGAATGTATTAAATCATTTTTCTCATAATATAAGTCAATAACCATTATTTTAATTACAAGTAAATAATTATCATCATCCTTTACTTTCTTAAGATCGTGTTCAAAAGTTAATTTAGGATCAATATCCCTATAAAACACCGCCTTACACTTCTCATATCCATCTTCCTCGACCATATTCAATAATCCTTTAAATTATATTAAGTTAGGATCTATATTTTTTTCACTCAATAACCTCCCCTTCATTAACGGACATATTAAGCTCGTTTTGTCATTCAACCCCCAAAATAAAGCCTTAATATAGACATTACACTTGATACAACCATTGAGGAGACATAAAGGAAAAAAAATGAAAAAGAAAACAAAAATTAAAGAATTTCGAGATTGACAAAACATAAAGAAATACACAAAAGTCATTCAATAAACAATAATATTAACAAAATTTGTATAAAATTGAGTCATAAATTGACTACAACTTGAGATTGTTTTATGCAATTTCGTATTAAATAGACAAATAAAATATTCACAAACCTAAAACCCATTCAATAAATAACAATATTCACAAAACCCATTAAAAATTCAATCAAAATGATAGAAAAGGTAGTTTTCCAAAACCGACAACTTAAAATATCATAAAATTTTGAGATTGTTTACCCGATTAAACTCGTAACAAACGAGATGATAATGATAGAAGAGGATGCCCGATCAAATACACAACCAATATTGTCTTTCACCGATCGAAGATGAAGAAAAATTAGGGTTCTTTTTAGGATTGAGAAAGAAGAAGATGAAACGAGATGAAGAAAAGATGAAACAAACTAAGATAAATATGAAGCGAGATGAAGAGGAGAAGATGAAACGGAATGAGATAGTAGACAAATAGGAGAATATGAAACATGTGTAAAATTTTCAAATGACGGTGTCCGTTAGGTTTTTGTTAAATTTGAGAGTGTTTGTTTATTTTTTTCATTTAGTTTAGGATTAAATAGATTGGGTTAATTATATCGTTTTGCTTCTTATATTAAACTATATTTTTTTATATACAAAATTATTTAAAAACATTTTTGTATTTTAGTTAGGATTTATACTCGAAACGATTAAGGACCACATCATCATGTGTCTTTGTCCGATTTGTTACTATTAGTTTTAATTTGCCATATAGGATGAATAATTAGGAGCGTTATAACGGAAAGTCTCAATCTATAAATTTATAAGAATAGAAGACTTTGAAAAAAAAACCGTACAAGTACCAATCTAGGGGTACAACATTGTTTTGGTGTGGGACGCAAAAACGAAATTAAATAAAGACAAATATTGAATACTAGATATGACCTTAGAATAATAGTGATTAAGGTTGGTCAGTGAAATGACAAGAGGTAAGTTTCATTATCGAGAAAAAAATATTCTAAATCACTTGTTAAGGTTAATAAAATTCATTGTCGAGAGAAAAAAAATCCAGATTATATGTCAAAGCTCTTATTGATTGTCGCTATAAAAAGAGATAATCAAGAAGCAACGAATTTAATCCCATTATGTGTAAATAAAAAAAAATCCACAAAGTCATGACTATATGGATAATAATGCATAATATTTTGAACTTGAAGTTGAGTAAAGGCTATAAACTTAACATTATGTATTCTTCGTGGAAGTAAACCTACTCGTAAGTTAATTTAAATTGCTTGTTTAATCAATCTAGATGTAAAGAATTCTAACATCGAACCAAATTAACATGGAAGAAAAGAGTCTTAGTTAGGCATGGAACGACTTCTTTTAAAATGACGAAGTCCACAAAGTATGGTACGGATCCAACAAACTTCCAGCTACCAACCAAACTTTCTCTCATCCTTGAGCGTGTGAAAAGGGTCTAGCTGTCTTCTACCGGTGCCTCACTTTTGTAACAGGAAATCCAACGTTGTCACTTTCGGTTGTGCTATTATCATAACCATCGTACTTCCTCTAAACACAATGCCCTCGCCTACCCACTATTTTCCCTTTGATTTTCTCATTTATCTTCCTTTTTCTCCCTCTAATACTTTTGCCACTTTCAATCCTTTCTCTTTCCTTTTCGCAAAATTATATACCGTGCCTTTCAGGCTAGGATTTATATTGGATTATTTATTTATTTTTACCGTGCTTATTATTATTATTTTAAGAAATTGCTAAGTAGTGTTTGATGTGTGTAGAGGTAGGGGAGGAGGCTTGAGTTGAGTTGCAATGAGCTGTGGTTGCTTTGGTATATCAAATTGGTTTAAAGGAAATAATAATAATAATAATCGAGGACAAACCAAAGCACAAGGTAAGAAAATTGAGTAGGCCCTTGAATTAATTGTTTCCATTTATGAGTGAATATTATTTATTAGTTGGAAGTAATTAATCACTTGTTATTGCTCTTAATTCACAGTGGATAGTGTTTTTGTTTAGAATTATGGATGCTCTGCCTGATAATTTCCTATTAATGTGGTATTCAATTCTTGCATGTGTGATTTACTCATGGCTAGAGATTGCCACCGACAATGTAAAACTCTTTTCGTATAATTCGTTGAGATCAGCAACACAGAATTTTCATCCATCAAATAGAATCGGTGGAGGTGGTTTCGGGGTTGTTTATAAGGTGAGCCGAGTATCAATTACATTGGTTTAGAGTTGCATTTGTAGTTACTAGAGCAATCCTTTGGTGGAGAGCAAGAATGTAGTTAACTGTCTGTGGTGGTTTGTTCATATTTTGTTTAGTATGTTTTGGTTATGTTGGTTAATTCCGAGGATGATTGTGCTGTTTTAGCTGGGTTTATGCCTTGACGGGTGCTAGAACAACCCTTTTGAGAAAAAAGAGAGAGACGGAGAGCGTGTTAGCAGATTCCTCCATGACGCATTTTATGCCGTAGTCTCATTTTTATGGTTTGTATGTATAATATTGATTTTTTGATCTCGTTTGCAGGGAGTTTTAAGAGATGGTACTCTGGTAGCCATCAAGTGTCTTTCTGCAGAATCTAAACAAGGAGCAGATGAGTTTATGACGGAGATTAGAATGATATCAAATATAAAGCACCCGAGTCTTGTTGAACTCATCGGCTGCTGTGTTGAGGACAATAATCGAATATTGATATATGAATATATGGAAAACAACAGCCTTTCTACCGCTTTACTTGGTAATTATGAAAACATTGAAGTATCTTATCTATTATGCCTATTAACTTGCTTACTGGACATTTTCTGTTTTATTGCTTTTTAATTTTATTCTTTTTTTGGAGAGTAGTATATTGTGCTAAAACGTCATTTACGAGAATGAGAAGAAGTTATAAATCTTTATGAGATTTCCCAAATTAGAAAAATATCTTTTTGCCATGCAATATATTTCTTAATTTGGTTGGTCAAACCTGAGATATGATTACGTCTTGCAAGAGTAGAGTTATCTTGAACTTGTTTGGAGTAACTGGTGTAATGTTGCTCTTGATTTTGCATTGATGTGAGATTAAATTCTTCAAGGCTCTCTCGCTCTTATGAGCGAGTGCATGCTTACACGTGTATGTGTGTGTGTTTGAAGGAGAGAGGTTTCAATCATGCTAACATCCAACAACCACCTGCAGGTTCAAAAGGAAAACATATTGCTATGGACTGGCCTACAAGAACTGCTATTTGCCTAGGTACAGCAAATGGTCTTGCATTTCTTCATGAGGAAACTGAACCGCATATCGTCCATAGGGACATTAAGGCCAGTAATGTACTTCTTGATGGAAACTTGCAGCCTAAAATTGGGGATTTTGGGCTGGCAAAATTATTTCCAGACAACGTTACCCATCTTAGTACTCGAGTGGCAGGAACAATGTAAGTGCAGTTCTTAATTGCATTTCACTTTATTGGTCAGCTGTCTCTAATTTTTACTTTGTCCAAAGCTGGTGAGAAACTTATTTCAATATGTTCTCAAATGGTTATCTTTATAGGCTTTCCAATTTAACCCTGTCGTTGAGTTCATTAAGTAACTATTACCGTAGGCATGAAGAAAGAGAAAGAACATGTGATAAATAGCACACTTATTCCATGCCTTATCCTGTGTTCTGTTCCTTGTCCAAACATGAATTCTCATGATGTCTATAGAATTAGATTATTGATACCGATCACTGACTGATAGTTATACCTTTGTTCATCTTTTCTGCTTCCTCTTTTTCTTATCAATAATCAACTTGTACATCTCGGCAGTGGATATCTCGCCCCAGAGTATGCCCTCTTAGGACAACTTACAAAGAAGGCTGATATATACAGTTTTGGGGTGCTCATACTTGAAATAATTAGTGGGAGAAGTAGCAGCAAGGCAGCATTTGGAGAGCATTTGTTGGTTTTGGTTGAATGGGTATGTTCTTAAACTTCATTCTTCATTTGCTTTAGTCAAGTCAATGCAATGTGTTTCTTCTATTTATTCGAGTCAATGTAATGCGTGTTTTATCATTTTCTCTAAAGGAGGAAAAATGGCCAGAAAATGACCAATGTCAAACATTCAAATCCAATGACTTTACAAGATGCCACATCTCTATCTCCCTTGAGTCCTCTGAAATCAATTTGAGCATGTCTCTTCTTTCTTATTGCACAAGTTTATTGTCTTCACTGTTTTCCTCAGAGAAACAGGGTTACTGCATTTTTTATGTACCCTATTCTTGGGAAATTTCCATCAGAGAGGCGTATTCAACCTTGATGTTTCTTGAATTATTTACAGTGACAGATAGTAATTTCTTTGATGACATATTAGGACACCTACTAAACTGTTCCGCCTGCCTTTTACATGTGTGGAAATTACCCTACCATCATCTACCTACTGACTCGTGGGTTAGGCACTAAATCTTTTATGGGGCATCCCTACTTTAATAGGCTTGAATAACCAATAAAACTAGTTAACACAACCCTAATATTCAGAAAAAACATAAAATAATTGCACTTGTCTTCAAAATATACATGAATAAAAATCTCTAAGACAATCACAGTGCTAGCATCAGAAAATAGCTTAGCAGTTAACAAAAGTCTGTGTCATGTCAAAATTAAGTGTGATCAATATGAGGGCCATATGATTATACGCAAAATAATTTTGATAAGCACCAAATGACTTGATTTTTTTTTTCATTAGCATCATGTTGGTTGGAATCTGTGTCTGTTCTGAATAGTTTGCCATTCTTTTTATCTCTATTGATTATGGTCTTGGCATACGATGGAGATGGAGAGGTTTTCACCAATGAAGGCAGCAAATAGAGTGGAAAAGGTCTAGTTACCCTAGATCTACAGCTAGTCTTACTTATAAGCATATCGTTGTTCATCAACAATGGCATGCTTTCTGTTTTATGATACTGAAATCAGTCTGTTGGTTTGTGGTTTGTAATGCCTCCTTTTGATATTTGTGGTGTTGTAATTACTTGGAGGAATAAACTCAGTGCTAACTTAAATTTGAATACTTCTGCAGACATGGAAACTATGGAAAGAAGAGAGACTTCTGGATGTTGTCGATCCAGAACTGACTGACTATCCAGAAAATGAGGTGATTCGCTTCATGAAGGTTGCGCTTTTCTGTACCCAAGCAGCTGCAAACCAAAGACCCAACATGAAGCAAGTAGTGAAGATGCTTTCCAAAGATGTAAACCTTAACGAGAAAGCACTTACGGAGCCGGGGGTATACAGATCTCATGCCTCTAAGCACTTCGGTTGTGGTAGTTCAGATGAGACATCATCTTCCCATAAAAACAAAGGCAAGCAATCAATAAACACTCCTGTAAACTCAACCTACTTAGATAGTGTGACCCAGATGCTTCCTAGGTGATGGCTGACCAGTTGTTTTATCCAGTCTGTTATACCTTTTACCAGATCATTTTAACAATTTTTACCAGCCTGTAGGGAGCCCTGAAAAAGCCTTGCCTAATGTCAATTCTTCTTGCCCCTCTTATTCAGCAACCTTACCAGTTTTCGCATGTTCTTACTCTGGAGTGGAATTTTCGTCGAGAGAAATAGTTTTTTTCTTTTTTAAGCAAACAAGGGTGCTTGTGTCTATACTTTATACCTCATGTAGATGCTACTGGTCGATATATTTTTTCATCTGACTCAGGAGTTATTAGAAACAGTCCTTGACTCTTTCAGGACAGCCGGCATTGGATACAAGTATTCCTGATTTGTAGTTCGTTGGCACTAACAAAGATAAGTGGAAATTGATTAGGGTTTAATTGCATAGGTTGGCAGACATTGGAATTGCATAAACAACCAAAGAGAAGAAAATAAAAGTGAATTCTTCAGCAACGGAGGAGAGGTTGGTGAAAATTTGCACAAAAAGAAACTCAGTATCTCGTCAATAAGGATGCAAGCCACTAATCGAATTTCAGTTGATAAAGAACTAATTGCGAGCTAACAAATTTTCATTGACCGTAGTATTTCCTAGGATGAATATTTTAGAGGAAACATTAAATCAATCTCTAGTTATCTTGTTTATAGTAGCATTTCTTTATTAGCTTGACCAAGATCAGTACAGAATAGATTGCCGGAAGGAAGGAGGAAAAAAATAATACAAAAAGGAAAGGGTAATTGCATATGAAAAACCACTAGCAGGCCTAGAAAATCAGTACAGAATCAAAACTTCTCTACATACAAAGCTGCCAGATGCCCAAATAAGATGATCTTTCACCTAGAACAGCATTCACATACCATATGATTTACAATCAGACTAAACTAATTTGAATTACAGCCAAGTACTTCTCGCATACATATTTAACAGGCAGCAGCTTCACTCTCAAGTAGCAGCTACAGCCACCGGAGTAGCAGCGGTGCCAGGCTTTGTGGAAGCTGTACTAGAAGCAGCAGTCGCAGGACCGCTCTTGGAATCCTTTTTAGGCTCTGCTGGAGGTGGTGGTTTGGGCTTCATGTGGGAAGGTGGACTGTGTTTAAGCTTGATGAGTATCTGACGCATCCTTGATAGGTCGGTAGGCTTGCCAGGTTTTGGTCCCTGGACCACCACAATGGTGGGCTTCTTCTTCTCATCCTTCTTCCCCCTTTTCGCTATTGTTGGAACCTCACGAGGAACGAGTTCTGCAATTGCCTTCCAATAATTCTGTTCAGCTTCAGAATGGAACTTCTCCCGGTTTGCCAAGAACAACTGAAATTTGAGACAGGAAATCAGATACAAACATATCTCCACCCCTGCTATGCCACAATTCAAGAAAACTCATAGTAGCATATTCGATTTGTTCTCTCTCCTTTTCAGCCATATCACATACTTCATTTGATCAGATTTATTACCAAGTTTGACTATTATTATTACCATAATTACCAAGTTTGCGTCCATTATCAACAGATTGCAACTTGTATGTCTATGAGCATGTTCAAATCAATACGCAACCACAATCACTCATTTCAGACTAGCAAAAGCTAGCCTTCTCATTTATTATGATTTAGGACACATCAACTACCAAGAAAACTACAGTATAGCCTTAGCTAAGTAAAAATTAGAACATATCTCAAGTTTCCAAAATTCAGATTAATGCATTAAAACATCAATGCTCTTAAATTTAGCAACAAAACAACTCCTTCAATAAAGCTAGCCAAAAAAAAAAAAAAAAAGGTTGGGATCAAATGAAAATGAATATCGTTTCTCGATTACCCCATCCGAAATTTCAGAACAAACATAACTTGTGCAAATAACAAACAGTGCGAAGGACACCCCAACAGCCAAAACATGGGACTTCCTCTAAAATTTTCTTCCTTAGACTTAAAATTTCTCTAACAGTTCATGAATGAACATAGATCCCCCGCAAATACTTAAAAGTGGTTGCTACAATGTCGACATGGACAAGTGCCGATGATTGCAAAATTTTAAAATACTCAAAACAGCATCTAACAATACTTACATTCAGATCTATAAAAAAATAATAAGAATATTTTCATTCAAATCTTTTTTAATTTTCTGTTTTGGTTGCGTTTATCTTATTTTTGATTGAAGGTTGTGTTTATCCGATTAGTTATTCCTAGAGTAAGATAAAATTTCTCTCAATAATCAATTTTTTCTCCCGATGATCATTGTAACAATAGAACATAATTTTTTTTTTTTTAATTTAAAGCAGTGATTTCAAACGAGATCGGCGTTTTACTATAAGGAAATATAGTTAGTTATGCCACTAATTTGTTGACAAAAACACTAATTTTTTTTCTTTTTTTATTGACTCTCTCACCTTCTCCTTCTCTCTATTAGCAGCTTTATTGTTCTCAACAGTCAGCTGTCTCTTCTTATAAAACTCTTTTATATACTCCTCTGCTTCTTCTATTATTTGATTCAACATCTCCTTCTCCTTCTTCTCCTTTTCTTCCAACCTTATCGCGTTCTGCCTGCACTTATTCCACAATTTCAGTCGCAAGATTCTTTTAATTACTTCAAAAAAAGAGAAAATACAGAAACCAGAAAGCAACTAGCAACTAGTTAGTAGCAGCTAGCTGCAGAGAACTGACAGTACCTGCGCCACTCTCTTAAAGCGGAACCTTCCTCAGACTCCATCTCCGACGGAGGAGGCAAGATTGGCCCGTCCTGCTCGGGGGAGAACGACGAGAACCCGCCGCCATCGCTCATCGACTGCGAGGAGAATAACTCGTCATCTCCGGTGACGTATGACTGAGAAGCGAAGATCGATGACGAGTTACCGGTCACCGAATTAGCATCGAAGTTGCTAAAAGAGCCTCCGTATCCTCTAGTCGACTCGTCGGTGAACGATGACATGATTCTCTCCTCTCTTTCAGGCGTTAATTCCTTCGCTTCTTTCTTTGCTTTTCCTTTAAAAATCTGACCAGCAAAAGAAAATTAAGGAACAGAACAACATATCGCGGACGATTTTTGATTTCTATTCGTGGAAGAGAAAGAATCTTTTCTGTGGTGAAATAATGTGCTGACACGTGTCAGTTAAGTGAGGTAATTGATGATCTTTGCATGGAAATAGACAGCGCTGCCTTTGAGCCTTAGTGGATCCCACCACCCGAAATGCTTTGCGAATGCGTCATTGCGGGACTGGACGTTCGCCTACGTGGAATATTAAATAGTGCAGCGCTAGGCCTTACTTCTGTGGTTTCGCGGGAACAAGATTTGCCATAGAGGCACGCTTGTGATTTGGCGGCAATAAGTGATATCTGGCATCAGGGTGTGTTCCATATTTTGTGGGTCCAGAAGAATCATTACCGCAATTTTTGGTTTCCTCTTTTCCAGGGTAAAAAACCGACCGAGCTCTAATTTAGTCCCTGTAAGTTACTGAAATTAATTATTAGTCCTTATTGTATAAAAAATTATTTAAAAAATCTTTTGAATAGAATTAACTGTCTTCAAATTAGTAGTTTTTTTCTTCAAAAGTAATATCACTCACATGCCAAAACACATGCTCCAAAACATTAAACTTAAAATTTGAATTAAACGACAACATTGATATGGTTGTTTTATACTATCATTACTTTTTATTTCATTGGAGAATGAGGCTATTGGAACCCTGATTCTGTCTATCGGTAATTTGGTACAACAATTTTATCTAAATTGACATACATGTCCTTTGCACATTGAAAAGCAAAGCTGATCTATTTACAACCACCTCATGTTTAAAAATTTTATAACATACAAGCAGTAACTAAGTAACTAATGATATGTATAATAATTATTTTATGAATTCATTTTGAAGAGAGAGATAAATATATTGAATTACATCCGATTTATAAAAAATGATAAAAAGATTTTCACGTTTGCTCACATTTAATATTCTCTCTCCTATTTCTTTTTTTATATATATCTATCTATAAAGTAGATTCATAAAGTAATTACTATACATATAACTAATTACTCTTTATATATTAATTACTTTTTATATGTTGTAAAATTTCTCCTGTCATTCGTTACCTTTGCCTCCTTTATTTTATGCCTGTTGTACTTCTTTTTTCCTCCCCCAATAACATGAATGTACGGAGTATATAAAAAAGTTGCGACAGACTCGTTAGGAGCATCACTTGAAATTAAATTCGGATCTGATGAAGGTTTTCTTCGCTTTTAATCTGTTATCCATACATTTAAAGTATTATCACCTCAATGATACGGCTAAATAAATTTTATTTAAATAAGTTTTTTTGTATTCAAATTTTTAAATAAATATACGTTTTTTATATGATCGATAGAATAATAAGAATTTAATTTAAATATTTAAATTTAATATACCTCTGAGGATTAAAAAAAATGTTTTGAATATTACAGAAATTTGCACACAATTTAAAAGGGTTAATTCTACATGTTTGCATTGTATTGGTTAAAAACTGAATGAGTTATTCAATAAATCATTAGCAAGATATTTATATACTTTTTAAAGACTAATAATTTTGAATAGATAGATATGTCATTTCATAACACTATATTCATAATCCACATAGCACTCTCTACAACTAAAATAATTAGTGTTGAAGAAAATAAAATATCAGCCTAGTCGTTAGCATTCGGCATTGCAAGGTGGTTCGATTTTGTTCATTCCTCTGTTTGTGAACTTATTTAAATTATACCAATATTTTATACCATGATATAAATAACCTTGTGTTATACTAATTATTGTAATTTTTTATTTGATTATTTATGTTAATTAATGTAATTTTAGTGTGTTCGTGAGAGAGAAGAAAATAGTACTAGGTCCAATACCAGTGAAAATGATCAATCTCGTTGTAAGTAACACATAACTTCCGAACTTTCTTGAATGTGTTTATACTTTAAATAGTCTTTTTATTTATACCAAATCAGTTTTATATTGCACCTATAAAACACACACACGTATAAAATATAATTAACTATTTATATGATTTTTTAGCAACTGAAATTGGATAAAAAAATTAAAATCATAATAAATAAAAAGAAAATACACAGGGCAATATATATATAAAAGATATTTTATATATTCGATAGATATTTATTTGGAATTCTTAAATGTACTCGACTTTCGAAGGAAAAAAAAGTGCTACAAAATATATTAAGTATATAATTTGATATTTTTATTTAGAAGGGATTTAATTAAAAAATAATAAGAGTGCAAATGGATCATAATTCAAATTTTATATTAAAATAAACTTATCAACAACGTAAAAAACCTGAAAATAGATTGATAGTTTTTTTTTATTCAACAAAAAAAATTAATATAGATCTTGAGTAAAAACTTACAATATGATCTTTTAGTTAGTCAAAACAAAAATAATTTACAATAAGCATGTTTAGCAAACTTTTCATTCAATGATTTTTTTTTCTATAAAAAAAATTAACTTTATTTTTTTTCCTTCCTTATTATGCACAATCATGGAGAATTTACGTGTTAGATTTGATTCCATATGGCTTTGATAAGATCATTTACTTTATTTATCTTCTTAATAACCTAGCATTTACACACACACACACATATATAAGAGTTAAGGTTTGCATATAGTCTCTATATTATAAGTAATTGATTAATTAATTCTCTTTGTCAATTTACATATTCTTTGTATAGAATTAATTTATGTAACACGAGCCTTCCATTGATGACCTCGTTAACCCTAAACCGTTATAATTAACCCTAAACCACTATAGTTAATGCTAAATCATCATGGTTAACCATTATACTTAAATTGATAAAGAAATTTGATTAATTAATTTTTTGTAGTACATAGACTATATGGATTGTTAACCCTAAACCACTATAATTGTTATTACAACCACACTTACAATTCCAACTTTTAACCAACCTAGTTCTAAGTAGTTTTAATTATGAGTTTCACTTTATTAAAATGGTTGGAGTAATTTTATAGTAGGATAAAATTAAATTTGAATAGAATTCTAGAGCTAGGCTATTTTGGTTTAAAAGTTAATGTAATAGTATTTTATTTCACAGTTACAAATAAAAAATAAAGTAGGTTGATTTTTTTTGAGATAGATCGAGAATACGAGACAAAAAAATTTAATATACATCTTGAGTAAAAACTTACAATATGATCTTTTAGTTAGTCAAAACAAAAATAATTTACAATAAGCATGTTTAGCAAACTTTTCATTCAACGATTTTTTTAATAAAAAATTAATTTTATTTTTTCCTTCCTTATTATGCATAATCGTGGAGAATTTATGTGTTTGATTTGATTCCATGTGGCTTTGATAAGATCATTTACTTTATTTATCTTTTTAATAACCTAGCATTCCACTTGTAAAGTTATAGGAATTCGCAACATTTTACACACACACTATATATATATATTAACATGTTTCGTATAAACCATTAGAGTTAAGGTTGGCATACGAGTCTCCATATTATAAGTAATTGATTAATTAATTCTCTTTGTCAATTTATGTATTATTTGTAGTGAATTAATTTATTTAACTCGAGCCTTCCATTGACGACCTCGTTAACCCTAAACCGCTATAATTAACCCTAAACCACTATAATTAATCCTAAACCATCATAGTTAACTATATATTTAAATTGATAAAGAAATTTGATTAATTAATTTCTTGTAGTACATAGATTGAATGGATTATTAGCTCTAGACCACCATAATTATTATTATTATAACCACACTCACAAGTCCAATTTTTAACAAAATTAGTTCTAAGTGGTTCTAATTATGAGTTTCACTTTGTTTAAATGGTTGGAGTAATTTTATAAAGTAATTTTATAGCAGGATAAATTAAATTTGAATAGAATTTTAGAGCTAGGTTATTTTGGTTTAAAAGTTAATGCAATAGTATTTTATTTCACGGTTACAAATAAAAAAATAAAATAGGTTGATTGTTTTTCAAGATAGATCAAGAATACAAGACAAAAATGATTATTTTATTACATTAAATTAATACTAAATATCTTTTTGGCTCAACAGATTACCACAATTGGACTCAGGGCCGCGCTGCATTATAATTTAAGGAGCCATGCCCTCCCAAGGTTTTTGAAAATTAAATTGTATCCCTGTCTATAGATTTCATTCAATTAAACCCTTATTTAAAGATTACTCATTACACTTTGTGAGGTGGATCCTGTCATTTAATACGGGGCTCGAAGGTTTGTGAAACAATAAGCCTTTTTTTTTTGTTAAGTCTTACTATCTCTAGTATTATTTTTTTAAAAAAAAAGAAATCAAATTTCAAGGACAAAAACAAAAAAATAAAACAACTAACTTAAACCTTCTAGTGACATCAAAATCAATTTCGACGGCACAGAAAAATGAGCAATCCCGCGACGCAAAGAATTTTGATGATGCGAAATTCATGCTATGAACTGCGAAGGGACGCGATTTCCCGTCTTTCTCTAACTTTTTTGGACCTAAAACTGTAAGCAACTATTTTCAATATAAATACAAGCGTAATTGGTGGTTGACAAGTTAAAATCTACAATCATTTTCTTTCCTTCCTAATTCAAATTAAGTTTTTTGAGAAATTCTAAAAAGAAATCATTAAATTAATTTGAAAAAACATATATTCTGGATCACTTAACCTTCAAGTTTTACTAAATTATATGAATCTTTAATCAAGATAAGTAACAAAAAGTTTAAAAACCTTTAGAAATAATTTGAAAGTAATTTAAGCATAATACATGTACAAGTATCGGTTTCTAAATCTAGGTATGAATTTAAGGTGTTTTTCTTTTCACGATAGACTAAGACTTTACAATTCACATATTTTGTTAGATACTAGAAAATTAGTATTAGTAGTTACCGGAACATGAAAGAGGACAAAATAACCAATATTATAAAAATGAAAGGCTATTTTGATCTCTTCTCGTAATAAAGTTTTTTTTGTAAATTCAAATACTCTAATTCTTTTTTTTTTTTGAATTTGTGATCTTTTGCAAGTGAAAAAACTCACTACCATTAACCTAAAAATCTATTAATATTTGAATCTATTGTTAATTGAATAATTAAAATTAAAATTTTATAAATTTTTGGGTTAAAGAAAAATTTTCACTTAATCAGAAAAAAAATTAGTTAAAAGCAAACATATGCACGGATTTTTTTTGTTAATAAGCAACAATCATGACAACAGTTCATTCTAAAAATAACAATACATAAATAAAAATTATGCCAAAGCATAATTTAGCATGCATAAACGCATTTTGCATGACTACGAAAGATCAACATATCAAATTTATATTCAAACTTATTTTTTACTTAGGATCTAAAAAATTTGTAAAAATAGATATATATATATATATATATATATCACCTTCTTATCGTATTTCTTCAATACATCAGAATTTAAGTAAATTAGTATATAGAAATTAAAAAAATAACTCTTTTCTTGAAGTTTAGTCGAATCTAATAAAAAAAAAATTTTGAGTAACTTTCTTTGGTTTAATGAAAAATTTTATCCTCATTCTATTGCGATTTGATAATTTCAAGCTCATAGTATCAAATTGCTTAATTTGAATCCTAAAGTATTGAAAATTGTACAAATGTTATTCAAATTGCCTAATTTTTGTTATGTTCCGTTACTTGAAATGCCAAAATGATGTTATTTTGATATTCCGTTGTTAATTATTTTTTAACATTTTAAAAATATTTTTAACCCTCTAATCTTGAATTTTTAAATTTTTTTCTTATAAAATATTTATAATATTTTATAAATTATATAAAAAATATTTTTTAAATATTTTAAAACCTCCCTAATTTTGAATTTTTTAATCTGTTTTTATAAAATATTATAAATATTTTAAAATTATAAAATCAGGGGTTCAATCCTTAATTATACTCATTTTAATTTATAAAATGTTTTTTTAAGATATGAAATTGTATATTGTTAATTATGTTTTTTTACAATAACATTTTATACAAATTTTTTTTTTAAAAGTTCAAAATTAGGGAGTTGAAAATATTTATAAAATTTTTATTTATATAATTTATAATATTTCATAAGATTTTTTTTAAAAAAAATTCAAGATTAGAGAGATTAAATTTTTTTTAAAAAAACATAATTAAAAGCAAGATGTCAAAACGACGTTGTTTTGATATTTCAAATAACAATCAATTGAATTGAGCGATGCACATAATAAAAATTAGACATTTTGAATCATATTTATTCAATTTCTAATACTTTATGATTTAAATTATATAATTTGATACTATAAACCTAAAATTATCAAATTATAGGTGCAAAATTTACCTTTAAATCAACTTTATTTGGTTGTTCTTGAAGCTATCTAATTTAAGAACAAACAGCAAATTTTTTGAATTAAAGAGAAAAAATCTAGCGGTCCTAAACTGTTCTTCATACGTCAACCACCTCATCACAGTCTACCTGTTCAATCACTTTTAAACCTCCACAACTTTTTGCTGGCAAAGGGCAAAGTTCTCCGTACAAAAAAAGTATTTTCGTAAATTCAAACAAACTTCACACCCATTAAATAAACTGCCCCATCCACCTATAAGTATCCCTCACCATCCCTTTTTCCTCTTCTTTGAAACCGTTTAGACAGAGAAACAGCGAGGGAAGAGAGAGAGGGTAAAAAAATAGAGAGAGACATAGAGAGAGTGTGTCTGTGCCTCTAAAGGCTTGGCAGTGAGCGACCAGCATTAGTCAGTTATAGAAATAAAATAGAGCAAATTGACAGGCATTGTTGTTACTGTCACTCCATCACAATTTACTACTCGTAATTGTTTAAAATCAGGATTGATTTTCTTGTTTTTAAATGAGTCGTTTAGGGTTTAAATCCCTGGTCTATCACGGAGAAGTATGTTTGGGAGAGCTGGATGTTATTCCAGTGACGGAACATAATTTCCAGTTTCCAAACAACGAGATTCGAATACAACGCATATCTCAACAAAGTGAGCGATGTCCTACTCTGTCAATTCTTCAAACAATCTCTCCATTTTCCGTCCGTTGCAAGCTCGAATCGTCTTCTCGTACTGAACAGACTCATTTGATCAATCTCCATGCCTCTTGTTTCCATGAAGTCAAGGTCCGTTGTTTTTCTTTGAATTTTTGCCTAATTGACTCAATTAGTTTTTTTTTTTTTTTTTTTTTTTGTGATTTTCATCTTTTAGTTAAGAAGTGGAGAAGTGAGAATAGGGTGATCTTGACTTTGTTTGTTTTTTTTTTTCCGTTATTATAGACGGCGGTGGTTTTAATTGGAGATGAGGAGATTCATTTAGTGGCAATGCCAAGTAAGCAAAAGAAGTTTCCGTGTTTTTGGTGCTTTGCGGTACCTGTAGGTTTGTATGATTCGTGTTTGAGGATGCTCAACATGCGGTGTCTATCAATTGTGTTTGATCTTGATGAGACGCTTATTGTTGCCAACACGATGAAGTCGTTTGAGGATAGAATTGAGGCTCTTAGGGTTTGGATTGCACGGGAGATGGATCCGATGAGGGTTTCGGGAATGTCTGCAGAGATGAAGAGATATATCGATGATCGGTTGCTTTTGAAGCAGTATATAGAGAGCGATGTTGTTATGGATAATGGAAAGACGTATAAGGTTCAATTGGAGGAGGTTCTGCAATTATCGGATGGCCATGAGAGAGTTGTTAGACCTGTGATTAGATTGCCTGAAAAAAACATTGTTCTCACTCGCATCAATCCAGAGGTATGATTTGCTTGATGTTGTTTCTTTGTTGAAGTTTTTAACTATTATCCTTTTGTTTTATGGAATTGTCTGCTTGTTATTCTTATGGTATAATTGAGATCGTCAAAAAATTGTGTTCTACTGAGCAGATGATAAGAGTGGTCTTTGATGTAAATTGGGTGGAAATGAGGATGAGGTTTGTAGCTTAATTGCATTATTTGGAACTATTAAAACTTTTGCATGTCTACTATTACTTATAAGAGTTTTTCCTCAAGCTAGGAGAAGATCAAATCAAGTGAATTGCTTTTGTGTTACCTTCTTTCATCTTCATGATGTCGTTGGACAGTATAAAAGTTGTATTTGATGTGATGTATCTATAATAAAACCTTTGTGTTATTTTGTTCCACTATAAAAATGGACGTTTTTCCATATTCTGGTTTGACATGTGCTTATATATATATATATATATATATATATATATATTCACTTATCTGTTAAAATTAGACTTTCTTTTAGAAAGCTCTCAATTTTCATAGAATAACCCTTGATTTTGGCCAACTTTGCACTGTCATTCTTTTGGTTCAGTTTGACTTATGTGCCTCCCCAAAAGTTTTTTTTTTAGCTTGGAAGGTTTCATACTTCTCAAGACGCAGCTTAATTTTACTTTTTAGCTGACATTTCTTTGTCGGCTTTCTTGCAATAAAGTAGGAAAGTGACTTCTCCTTATTTTGTTGTCAGCCATGCTGAGTTTTCTGATATGTGAGGTAATAAAAGTTTCTTGTGATTGCTGGTAATTTGTTTATGTAGATTCGTGATACAAGTGTGCTTGTGAGATTAAGGCCTGCATGGGAAGATTTGAGAAGTTATTTAACTGCAAAAGGACGCAAACGGTTTGAAGTTTATGTTTGTACAATGGCTGAAAGAGATTATGCCTTAGAAATGTGGAGGCTTCTTGACCCAGAGGCTCACCTGATAGCTTCAAAGCAACTCTCAGACCGTGTAGTTTGTGTTAAATCAGGCAAGTAAAGGTCACTGCCATCATTTTGAGAATATTTTTTACTTCCAGTTTTTCTTGGAACTTTGATGCAGGTTGAATTATCTGTTGTGAAATATAGTTAAAATTTTATAGTCAACTATGAATTTTGTTTTCATGAATTGGGCATATTGGTTTGTTAGCCTCCAGTTTTAAATATGAAGTTGGATGTTTCAAAGGCAAAGTTGACAAAGGTCTGCTAAATTGTAGTGGTACAATGCATAAACAGCCTGCAGCGCATTGTTATTGAGTTGTCATGTCGGTCACCTTTCTTTCATAATGACAAATTAGAATACTTTTATTGTGACAGGCTCCAGGAAATCTTTATTAAATGTCTTCCAAGATGGCATGTGCCATCCAAAGATGGCAATGGTAATAGATGATCGGTTAAAGGTCTGGGAAGACATTGATCAACCTCGAGTTCATGTAGTTCCTGCATTTACTCCTTATTATGCTCCTCAAGCAGAGGTACTAGAAAATATCTTTATGAAATTATTTGTTAAAATCTGTTCATTCTTTTTCTCATTTTTCTTTCCAAGCAAAATGTTTATTAGGCTCATTCTCTCTATTATATAGACAGCAAACGCTGTTCCAGTCCTATGTGTGGCAAGAAATGTTGCATGCAATGTCAGAGGTTGTTTCTTTAAGTAAGAGATTCTAACTTTGTACAACTAAAGTATTTTATGTGACTGTGGGTGTATGAAGATTATTTATGATTGCATTGTGACATGTTATGTTTATAGAGAATTTGATGAGATCTTAATACGAAGAATGTCTGATGTCTTTTATGAAGACGAGGTGAAAAGCTTACCTCCTACACCTGATGTGAGCAACTACATGATGACAGAGGTATATTAATTGAGCTATTAGGTTTTTCAAGTAACATTCCAATTGTATTCTTAGGTTATCACATAGTTGTTTTCATGAATTACAGGATAGTGGTTTCGTACCCAATGGCAATAGCAATGCTCCCTTTGGTGAAGGAATAAGTGGCATTGAAGCTGAACGGAGATTGCAGCAGTCAGTAAGTTCCAAAAAAACATGTTGAAGAGATTTGTAAACTTGATCTGAATTAATTTAGAGAAATGTTTGCTTGCCTTTTCCTGAGAAATACTAGGTTTATTCTGAATACTGCATGTTCTTCCAACAAATCAGAGCGAAGCAATATTAAACATCGGTGCTAATGAGCAAGAGGTTTTCTGTTTCTGCTGTAGTTTGGCATGTGACATAACTTGATAAATTTGCTCAGCTATGTACTTCAATTCTTATACCTTTCAGGATGACAGGAATGTTATGGACTCGGTCACTCATTCTATAACAAACAGTACTGAATTGAGATCTGAAATATCCCAACCTCCTGTGGCAATAATTCCGAATGTTGTTGGGCCGACCTTATCAGCAACACTCTTGCCTTCTCAGAGTATGGAGTTCAGTTGGTCTTGATTTTATTTGTGCTTGTATGTAGAATCGGTACATTTTAACTTACTTTTGTAACTTAAACCACTGTATTTCAGAGCCTAGTTTACTTGGTGCTCCTATTAGACGAGATTTAAGGAATCAAAATTCAGGTCAACCCCCTCTTCTTTCTAGAGTAGCTGCAGCAATGCCATCACCCTCTCTACAGACACAGGGAGGCTGGTTGGTGGAAGAAGATATTGGCAGAGCACAATCAAATAATCGACCTTCAGCAATAACTCAAGAATTGGATTCTTTAAAATCTGATAAGCTGAGAGGACAGCATAATCCATTTGCTTATGGTGCGTCAGCCTCTGCTCCATCTGCTTTACTCTCACATGCTTCAGAATTGAAGGGTGAAGAGGTTTGTTTGAAGTTGATTTAAATTTATGTTTTGAAGTCCTTGCTATTTTCAATTTTCAATTTTCAATGCATAGGGATTGCTGTGAGCATTAGAAACTGAGGAACATCTTCGATTATTTGCAGGCTGTTGCTGGACATGACATGCATAAACAGAGTCTTCCTGCTGGAGGTCAGCCTTCAAGCATATGAATTGTTTAGTACTATAATAGTTTGAAGTGCCTAGTGATTGAATGCTTGCTTTGTGTTGATCCATTAGGCATACTCCCTGTGTGTGGATATGTATTGGAATCCATCTTTTGATCATATTTGGCTACAATTTTCAATTCTTACTTCAAGTTTGAGGATTGATTGATCCAACCATCGAAAGATAAGAGCCTTTTGAGAGACAAGAAAATGCCATAACTGAACAATTTATCGAACTTATAAATGTATTGTTATAGTACTTATTTAGAAGTGATGACAAGCCCACTGGTTACTGTATTCAATATGAAGGCCTTTCTCATTCATATGATTTTTTTTTTTGTTTTTGGCAGAGGTTGGCATGTCTCAGAATCATGTGTCCTCTAATAGCAGCGAGTTTCAAGCTGAAGCTGGGAAATTCAACCTGCTACCATCACACTTGTCTATTGGAGTGCTGCAAGAAATTGGACGGAGATGCAGATCCAAGGTACTGATTGGTTTCAGACTTTATCTTGGTTGCCTCACCTCTTTATTTCTATTGATGATTTATCGTCTCCTGATGTGCAGGTGGAGTTCAAGTCTGTTGTAAGCACCAGTAAGGATTTGCAATTCTCTGTTGAGGTCAGTTGAAATTTGTTCTCTTCCTACCTTCATGTTTCTGTAGTTCTTGATACCCTTCGAGCATTTTCACAGTGTAATTCATGAGCTTTGTTATTTTATGTTGTTGTAATTATCTGAACGCTTTACTTCAAGTCCTAAAATTTTTGGTACTGTGACTGGAGTTAAATAAATAGTTGAAATTTTTTAGGTTCTCTTTGCCATTTGTCTGTTCTTCTCCCATTTATTTGTTTCTTTCAATTTCGTTTTCATTAGGGAAATTTCAGTTAGATTCGATAGTATAAATGTAAGGGTGCAGCCATGTTGTAAGTAGTGGGGTGAGGTCACCCCTTGAGTTCCGAAGAAAAGTTGGTTGTAGGTTACAATATGAAGTGTTTTGCGAAGTTCCTCAGTGGAATTTTTGTGAAACTCAAGGAAGCAGGGTTATTTTTGTATTTTTAGTTTAAAAGTTCACATTATGTAGACGTTCTCCCAGCCATGTAAAATTTGTGGTGTTCTCTCTTTTGTTTCTGCTTTTAACTTCTTTCCCTCTTGCAGTTTTGCTTAAAACTTAACTGGCTATCGTAACTTCTCCCACTGGGTTGTTGGTTTAATATTAAGACCAGAATTTAGTAATCAAAAGGAAAATTAATGTCCTGCCATCAAAATTCTCTTAGTTAATATTATACTATGGCTGTTCTTTTATCCATTTTTGTGAATTGAAACCATAAAATACTATGTGATTGATTGTCCCCATCAAAAACATTCCTGGCTATACTGCAGTGTTACAGACCTGTTTCTTGTTGCGGATGCGTCATGAATGATGATTATACGTATGGGATGATGAGAGGATTGCCTTATGATTAGTGCTACCTTTAAGTTTAAATTTTTGGGTAAACTTTTGAGCCCTTGCGACTTTTGTGTAATTAGACTGGTGCTTGAGCTTTTTTAGTGTAGACAGTAGCCATTTGTTACTGAAAATGATTTGAGTACAGAGGGACTAATGTTTTACCTCAAAAACTTAATGGGATAGGGCTTCCAGAACCAGCGTATCTATCTTTGATCATCTTGCCTCTGTAGAAAGTTCCATTTCACTTTCTTCGCTTGGCTCTGCTTCCTCTTTATGAACTCCTATCTACTCTTGGAAGCCAATTGCAGCTTTGTACAATTGAGATTGACAAGAGCTGCTGAGTGGTCATTCTTTTTTTAATGCCCCTTCGAATAGAAAATAAATGAGCTGGAAAACTTGCATAAAACCTTCTGTGCTTTGGGTGGGTTTAGTAAGATCATTGGCTAAAGTCCAATTTCACTAAAATGTCTAATAAGCAATGCTATACATACAAACGGATCATACAAAATTTTCATACAAACTGATGTGGCAATTGTTCTTTTCATGCTAACCAATCTTTAACATTTCAGGGACCTACACTCGACCACTTATCACTTGACACATCAGTTTTTATGAAAATTTCATATAATTTTTTTTGTGACCATAGCATTTTCCTACCATAATTTTCTCTATACACTTCTGTCTCACGAGAGACCATTCTTTTTTCCTTGAAGCTACAAAATAATCTCTTAGTTGTTGTATTTGTGTCTGCTCATCTTGTCCCTTTTGCTTGTAGCTTGTTAAAATATAAGCGATTATCATGCTGCTTTTGGACTCCAACAAAACTCATTTTGCTGACTTAAATGATTTAGGTTTTGTTCACTGGTGAGAAGATAGGTGTTGGAATGGGTAAAACAAGGAAGGATGCACAGCAGCAAGCAGCTGAGAATGCCCTTCGCAGCTTGGCAGGTAAATTTATTCTCTAGCTCATTTCTCTCTCATAATTCTCCTTGTTTGAATTTTTTTTATTTTTTGTAAACGTGATACCCTTTTTCTATTATTTCTTCAATCGCAATGAATGTGGAGTTAAATATTTGCATGATCTAGATTAGTGAGTGTGAATTGGTCATTGATTGATCTTCTCTTTGTTGCTGTCTTTGTCTTGGTTCTTTCGGGAGTATCTCCTTGTTTCATTTGGTGTATCTGAAATGAAATAAGCAAGTACATAATATAGTCAATGGTTTGATGTTATGCGATAGTTATGCATATGCATATTGGTTGCCAACAGACATATCAACTGTGTTTAACATAAATTAGATAGATGCAAGACTTATGATTCTTATTTCGGCATCCTATTTGCTAGTTGATTGTGGCCATGAACACTGACCCATGTTTTTTTTTTCAGAAAAATACGTAGCATATGTTTCACCCCATTCTGGTGCTGTTGGTCACGATTTTGATAAGCTTTCTATTGGGAACGAGAATGGATTTGTATGGGACAGTACAAATCCTGGATCAAGTGATGTGGTACGAGAAGATGGGTTAGCTAACGAACGTCCTCCCGAGGTGAGGATTTTTTAATGATGCTTTCAGTAGTTGATTTGATTCATTTGTTCAAAAACATAGGTGATGCTTGGATAAAGGGTATGTTGGCAAGAAATTTCCAGACGGGGTAGTGGTTATCTGAACGGAAACTATACCCTTTTGGATTTTGCATTGCACCAAGATGTGGGAGCTAAAACAGTGAAAGGGGAGTGAGCTGGCTTCATGTCCGCTACTGTGGCTTTAACCAGGCTCCACTTATTCCTGTTTAAGAGGTAAGACTTGGTGGTCAGACCCATTATCCAAGTACTCCCATGTAGTTGAATCAGCTATTCCCTATAGAGTTGATTTACATTTTATTTTCCTGTTTGTTGGGAGTGTCTATGTACTTCTCTATCGTCCCTAATTTTGGAGCTAGCAATTATTTGTTTAAATTGTTGCTGACTTTTCATGTGCCTTATTGTATCACTAGTCTTCGTTGGTTCCAAACACCTCTCTGTCTCTCATATGCGCTGGCAAATGTCATGAAGTGGTTGATTCTTTTTTTCATTTTTTGTACTTGACTGACTGTGCGAACCCGAAGGACTAAATGTTTCTTACATGTGTAATGGCGATTTTGAAGTTTGTTAAATGCTTTGTCACTTTTCAGATTAATAGAATGCCATAAGCACACCATTTCTATGGCTTTGCGTTGTACATATGCCTAAGATGCATCTGTTGTATTTTTGACAAATGATTTGCAGGTTGCTGATGCTGAACTCGGGATTACATCCAATATGGTACATAATCAACAGCAGAAGCGTGCCAACTCCCCCAGGTAATTTCAAAAAAATATTCTTCCATTAATAGCTAATAAATTGTAAAATTGACCTCATAATGGCACAGAGGGAGCAGGGCAGACATATTTTTGAATTAGTGTGCGACCAGTAGGATTAGTGCGACCAGTGATTCTGCACTTATTGTGTTTGAACCAATAGCTGGACTGTTTTCCAGTAAATTGGATTTCATTTCTATTTTGAGTCATGAAGTGGATTTATTTGAACATGTGGAATTCAATGTCCTTTATAATGGTCAATTCAGTCCTCTTTGTGGGTGTTTTAGATGCTTGTTTTATTAAGGTGGTTTGGGAGTCGCGAAGCTTGTGTTTAGTGTTGCATGGATGCTTTGTTCTTGCCTGTCTGTCTTCCTACGAGGATAATACATTAAGAGTCCTGTGGGATCAAGGGGTTCTCAACATCATGTTTGAAAGATTTTTGTGGGGCCCTGTCCTTGGATTACATCCATATATACTCCTTTTTGAGCCCTTTTGCCCTGTCTTTCATTACTCCATACCTTATTACAGTATTTCTGTAAGCTGGTTTATTTTATTCGTGTATGGCATGTGCTTTTTGAAAGTCATCCCGAGCAATGAAAATGAGATTCGTCTGGAATAATTAATATCTGGCTACTTTCTGGGTTGCAAGCTGGAAGGAAATAGTAGGGTGAGGTGCTTCCTTTCTGGTTGATTTGATGCATTGTCATGACAGTTTTTTACCTTTGTTTTTTATTCCTTCATAATCTATTATTATTTTTTGTAGAGCATGAATTTTCCCTGGCGTGTTGTATTGTTGCGTAATTTGTTTTGATGTATATCTTATGACATAATCTAGTCTTGGCATTTGCATTCTTTTCATGGAAAGTTATTGCATGTCTAGTTTGGAGATGCATTTAATAATGGTGAGTTGGTTACTTTTTGGAAACTTGGTTGCTTCCTATTTTAGTTCCTAACTGTTGAATTGTTTGCTTTACTAATCATTGTGCATGCCTTCCTGATATGTTTGCTTAATCTTTTCAGATTGCCGCAATCTATACCTGGTAAACGGTCAAAGGAAGAATTGCATAGTTTGCAAAGTCTACCCTTTCGGCAACCCAATAATGGGAATAATGTTTCGCAAAAGCCATAAATTTGGGAGAATGATTAGCGATGACTGCATCTGTGTACTGTAATCTTCTGGAACGATTGGCCACATTTTATCCTTTTGCTCCCTCCTTTCCGATTTTTGGTGGATGAAGAGGGCAGAGCTAGTAAGGATGAGGACAGAGCTTGGCTTAAAGCTTATACAGTGCCATTCTGGCAAAAGCATCCTCTTCAGTCCACTTGTCTCAATATTTCTTCTTGATGGTCGCTTTGGCGGAAAATGTGGTGTCTAGTTTAGGTAGCCTGCAAAATTTTTTTTGCAGCTAGCATTGCAATTCTTATAAAATAATTTACAGCTCATCAATTGTAAATACTTTTGATTGTTGTATGATGGCAGCTTACTGCTTGCATATTTTTAAAGCATTAACAACTGATTATCTTCTTGTTTAGCAGTACAATTCTATCAAAAGGCAGGCAGAATTTTCTTACATGGATTGGTCTATGCCCATTCTCGAGAGTATGTGGTTGGCTGGTTGCACTCTGTAACGCATGCCATTCCTTTCCCGAGCCACATTTGGGGACTGAAAAGTCGAACAGCGGTGTCTTCTTAAAGCCTGAAATTTGAAAGGGCTAAAGGTTGTTAATATTGAGAAAAACTTGGTGATGACCGACTCGAGGACTTGGTTTCAGAATCAACAGGTCAGATGGTACTTGCTGAGAGATTCAGCAACTCCAATTCGAGCTCTGTTAGAATCTAATTTATGGCACACGACTCGGTCATGCAGATTGATCTTGGTTTCAGCTTCTGGACGGGGCACCTTAAGAAAGCAACCGTGGTTTATTAGAAGTTTGGAGTGTTCAAAAATGTTGCTGCCTATGGAGCTATTCAGCTTGGGCATTGAACCAACAATTGCTTGGGTATGGATTTCCCAGAGAGCACACACCTAGGTCTGATTAAAAAATGCAAGCTCCCCTTGACGTACGCTTATTTTTGCTTGGTTTCGATTCTAGCGGAGCCATGAAATCAATATTTTCGATAGAGACTAGAGGATGCGTCTTTGGTAACAGAGCAATATTGTTTCCAGTGCATTGTGATTTGACTAATTGACTACGATTATGCTTCTCTGCCCATTGAACGAGACAGAATTAAATTAAAAATAATCACTGCATACGGGAAACGAAGGATAAGTTCAAGAATCACCATTGACTTCTCACTCCCGAGGAAACCTGCTGTTTTCTTCATTTTACCCAAGGGGGAGTGCCGGCCAATTGTTCCAACATCAGAAACCCGTGTTATCTATCAGTACAGAAGAAATAACTTACTTCCATCAGTTGTCTGTTGCTGCAGGATCATAGTGGCATTTCATTGCCGATTGGACAAAAAATGAAGCTTTACAGGTAAATTACCCTTCTAATTATACATTAATATCATACTGCTGCCATTTGGGCTGCGGTGAAAAATACACAAAAACAACTTACTAAGGTTAAATTCAATAAACATGAAATAATAACTGATTTTGATTGTTGTTATTTTCAAGCTGGAATCATAATTTTAAATACCGGATGGATAAAAAAATGATCGCGATCACCATTATAAATTATGACTTATTATAATATTAAAATAACGATAACGAGATGCATCGAAACTGTTATATAACTACCATTATATAACGTACGGAGTTATTTAAAACTATGACTGGAACAATAGTATTCATGTCAACAATCACCACCACCATTTCGATATCGTCCATCTCTGACTCTCTGGCAACCAGTCGATATTAGCACTTCTGGAGAAAATAACAGCATCTTTAGTCTTTACTTGCAAAACTACTATTGTCCTCAACTCTATGCCACACGAGAATGAATAAGATGTAACTGTGAATCATTTTACAGCAATTACAACAAAGCTTGAGCAATCTAATAGAATAGATTACAACATGGCTCAGTCACAAATGTCTATACATACAACTACAATAGTCTTGCTGCCTCCTATTTGCCAGGCCACTTAAAAATTGTAGGCAACTAAGTAGCACAGACTCGCGCATAGAATAAATTGTTTTTCCGTTTTCTTGATGCTACAGCAATCCTAAACTGGTTAGCAGCTTCTGTATCCAGTGCAGGTCATTTTGAAAAACACCATTTCTCACGAACTCTTGCTTCTTTTCTTCTTTGGCCAGTGGCTTATGTATGAGTTCATTACTGTGCTGCTGCTCATCATCGAACCCATTGATTGATTCTTCTTGATGTGGATTTTCATCAATATCATGCTTTTCTTCTTTCGCCAATGGCTTATGCATGAGTTCATTGCCATCCCGCCCCTCATCATCGAACCCATCAATCGTTTCTTCTTGAAGTGGTTTGTCACCGACTGCACGCTTCTCATCTAACTGAATAGTATTAAGACTCAGTTAATTGAGAAGAAGAGAATAATGGACAGAAATGCCCTAAATTGTATACTATTAGTTGCAAAGAAGCAACCATCTGAGAAGATGTGTTCTTGGAGTGGCTGATGTCTTTTTCTTTTCCTCTTAACTATACTTATTTGATGGAAATGGTAGTGGCTATTCGTTACTATTAGAACTTGTTGCATATTTCAAAGCATTAGGTCTTGGTAGCATATTTCATATCTTGGTCATATATAGTTAAAAAAGAAATAAATTATCATCTCTCATAGATAGTAGAATAGTTCTGTTGTACTCTCGCATATGATATTCACAGCAAAATATAATGGTCTAAAGTGTAAAGGGCACAGCATCTGTGGACGGATTACGTGAACTTATATTAATTTAAGGCGGCAAAAGATAAAAGTCTGATCTTGACAACGTGAAAGACTCCTGTTCCATTTCTTTTGGCAGAGTTCTTTGGTTCTGGATGATTTTTACTTTTCAAGAAGATACGATCTAATACAGATTATTTCACTGGAATCAATCCCCTGGAATTGGAGAAACCGACTAATGGAAATGTCAAAGAACTTTATTTCACTTGAAATCAAATTGCTAGCAGAAACAAACGAAAAAGAGAATGGAGTACACAATATCAGGCAGTTACCTTCGGCAAATTGTCATTCTCAACTTCATTGACTCCGACAGAGGAATCAAAGGCATCACTTCTCTCACCTTCATTGACTCTGACAGAGGGATCGAAGGCATCACTTCTCTCACCTTCATTGTCAATAGCTGCTTCACTTGGTATCACTGATACTGCAGACAAGCCAGGTAACAGAACAGGATCTCCTTCATGAGTAACCACACTTCCTTGGATATCAGACTTTGCTGAGTTTATAGCTGTTGGAACATCATCATTTCTGACAACATCCTCTCTGATCGCTGTACTCTTGTTTGACGTAGTTCTCTGTTCTTCCTCCTGGTGACTGGCTCTCTTTGCACCTAACACTTCATTACTAACATTCACAGAAGAAGCCTCCTCTGAGTAACTGATGTTATCTGCTACAATAGCTACAGGCTTCTCTTGCACAGGAGAAATGTTATCAGCAACAATTGCTTTCTCATAAATTACTGGCGATGGTTTCTCTTCTGGGTTAGAACTCACATTCTCAGTAACTTCATCGTTCTTTGTATTAGAAACCAGTTCTTCCTTTTGATGATTCAAGTTCTCAGCAACAATCAGCCTTTCTGGGTTGATAGTAGGTTCCTCACTTCCATTAGCAGATGGTTCTTCCTCTGTTATCTTCTGCAATGCAGCATCTTCCCAATCTTCCCAAACTATGATTGTATTATTGGTTTCCCAAGTTTGGAGAATCCGATCAGGTCCCGGTTGCCAGAAAATCTTCCCAGCAATTCCTTTCAGTATGAACTTGAACTGGATGGATTTTCCAACGGGTATGTCCTATATAAAACATTAATCACCGCATCAAATCTTTCTAAAAGTAACAACATTTTATACATCATTTAGTAGTTTCTGCTTACCAGTTCAACAGTCCAAAGATGCTCATCTGACCAGTTCAATGGTATAGCACTTTCTGGATCCCATAATCCCAACAGAGGATCATCTCCTACTATGGTAAATTGCTCACCAAAGGAACACTCTCTCTGTAGCTGGAATTTGACATGAACTGTCTTTGATGCATCTGCACTTAGAGATAATCATGCCATGTTGAGAAAAAGGATTGATCCAAAGATCCCCGGTACAAACAAGAAAAGAATACTTACTTGTTTCTTGGTTTTGATAATCTCTAGTCTCCAAGTCTACCTAAAAGAAGAAATTAAAACAACTTTAGATTTTGAACTGAATATGAAGTACACATACAACAAGCCCTAACCCATAAGCAGACATATAAAATCACCAACCCAATTGATTTAGAGAACTAAGCACCAGGTAAAGATTAAAAAGAGAAGTATTCTAAGCATCATATCTCGTCTTTGATATAATTCTTCTCAAGGCTCTGTCTTCTCTTTTAAAAACTTGTCAACACCCCCCCCCCCCCCCCCCAACAAAAAAAAACAAAACAAAAATAAATAAATAAATAAATAAACCATCTCTTTCAAGAGTATGTTGAATGATCTCCAACAAGTGAGAATAAATAAAATTAATAACGGACAAAAAAATTCTTTTGGAGAACTAAAAAGGGAAACCTGAAACTTGAAAACTATTATATGCATAGAGCGAGAGGGAGAAAGAGAAAGAAGGAAAAGAGAAGAGTGCATGCCTGTGACTCAGGTGAGAGAGAAGAAGAAACACGAAATGAACAGATAGGCTTATGTTTCTCACACAGCCAATGCACGAAGCCAACACTACGAACACGCTTGTTTGATGGCAAAATACTAATTTCATGCCTCAATTCTCTGGAAGGGAAAAAGGGTCTGTCTCCATTTTTGTCAAGGATGATCTTGGAACAAGAACTTGCTAGGGTTTTCATCACTTGATAATAACAGTAGCTCGGTTGCGAAAGCAGCAGAGGAAGCAGAAAAATGATGGGTTGATAATTTTTTTTTTGTTTTGTTTCTCTTGATTACTCCGATTTTGTAATGATCTGGTACTGGTGGTTATTGTGATATGATGGAGGGGCCTCCAGAGGATAAATAAAGGTGGAGGACTGACACGTGTGAGAAGTTAGATGTGTCTTTCACTCAACCCGAAAATCTAATCCAAATTGTTAGCATTTCGAAGAAGCCTCGTAAAATAAATTATCATAAACAGTAGGTTTTTAATGTCACAGTCGGTGCTCACTCCTTTCTCCCCCAACCCTTAATTTCGGATAATAAAAATATGGGTTAATTCAATTTACTTTTGTCAACTAAGAATTTTTTTTTCACTCTCTAAACTTTTAAATTTTTATCAAATAGAAATTTTTTAAAAATTAAAAAATTTGATATTTTTATGAGATCAAATTTTTTTGTTTTCAATTAAAATATCGAAATGATACCATATGCATTACTTATATTTAAAATATAAATTAAAAAAAAATCTTAGAAGGTATAGAAGAGCATATATCGAAATAAAAAAAATATTGACAAAATAAAAATTTTAAATTATGACAAAATTAATAAAAACTACATCATTTCCTTTATAGAAGAAATTAAACTATACTATTAATTTTATTAAAAAAATATATAACTCATTTTGTGATAAATTAATTTAATTGTAATGAATTTTTAAAGTGCATTTTTTGTCTCATAAAAATCAAACATGGTGTTAATTAAGAAACGAAAATTAAAAAATAAATATAAGAAGATAAATAATAAGATTATGTATTTATGAAACTCATTAATTAATATGAGTTTACTCGTTTTTTCTTTCAAAATATGACTAGTAAAGTAGTGCAAATATAAATCACTTATAATGCATATTTTAATTTTATATATTTTTATTATAATATTTTAATTTGACGATTCAAGCGCTACCTTGTGTTTTTATGGTCAAATATTAATTGCTTATATCAAATATATTGTTGGTTTGTTAAATATTGATGATCGTACCCTTATATCGTAAGAATATAAAAGTTTAAAACTTAATTTTTTTTTTAAGGATATAGTTGGATTTAAAGTTGTAATCTTTTTGTGGTCTTCTTAATTCAAACTTTTCCTAATTTTAAAATTATTTTTATTTTCTTTCCTTTATTTTCAATATATAAACCCACACAACATAAGAAAGTGATAAATTTTAATTTTGTATGCAATATTTTAATTTTTAAACAAAACCCTTAAACTTGCTTACGTATTTGTGTCAATTATTCATTTTCATCTCTACATTTTTTAATTTGTTCAATTCACCTTTGATAAGTTCTTTGAATTCGTTCAATTGATTCTTATGCTCTCTAAAATTGTTCAATTAATAATAATTAACTTTTCACAAATCTCAATTCTAACTATGTTGCTTAATACTTGCATTTATGAGTTGATAAATATTCATATTAAATATGAGGAGTGAGGAGTGAAGATTAAAAGAAAAAAAATTTTAATTTAACACAAGCTTTGTAACTCAACAATCACATATTTGGTTCATAATATTTTTATTTTATTTTAGATAATTGCATATCTAGTGTCATTTTTTTTATTTGACCAGCACTTTTATTTTGTTAGTTGAGTGTGTTAATTTATTTTTTAATCAAGCGCTTTTGTTATAGATAGTCTGTAATATGTTGATGTGGTTTTTAAATTGAAACTTGATAATACGATATGTTTGCCGAACGTGTATAAATCTCTTATTTTGTTCTAATCGACTATCATTATTTTTATTTTTTCTACTTCAAAATTCTTACTTCTAATATTTTTTTAATCAACATAGTGTTTTTATGAGAAGTTGCAGTAGATTGGTGATGATGTTTTCATTCAATGTTCACTCAACAATTTATCAAGTTCTTATTAGACTGAGTATTTTTTTTTTTAAAAAAAGGAAATAAAAATTTTATTCAAATTAAGAAAAAGATAACTTTTCTTAAAAAATAAAAAAATTGTTTCAATTCATTCAATTTTCTTCATTTTGGCAAACCAAAAAAACTCTACGTCTAATCTAATAAGCTAACAATTTAATTATTTTTACAAATCTAGCAATTTTAAATACAAATCCACCATCAAGACCAACTTCTCTTACGAGAAAGCAAAATGATAACCATTAAATGAAACAAAACCTTCATTATAATTGATCACAAAAAAAAAAAAAAACTATTGGAGGTGTATTGATTTATTAAATTTTTTTTTTAATCTAGTCAAATATGGCTTGCATAAAGATGCCAAATACAGACCTAAGAAGAACATCGGTAACTAACTAATTATCTGAATCTGCCGGTCCAATTCTCATTGTCTCAGACTCTCTCCCTCTCTGCAAAAGCCATGGACAAATCAGAGTTTGGAGCTCTTAATTTATAAAAATAATATCTAGAGAGGGCTCTGGTTTTTGGATATCTGAATCTGCCGCGTGATGGCTACCAGTCTTAAACCATGTTCCTCGGAATTTCCAAGGCTGAAGGTTTGGTCTACTCGAAAGCAAACTTGTTTTCTTTTGACATTATTGTTGATTCTGTGTTACAATTCAAAAACATAACATTTGCATCTAATCTTTTAAAAAGAGAAAAGTAAGAAAATATATTATTGTATATGTACTATAATACATTTGTGATTATATTTCTATATTTAAATATTTATAATAAATTTGTATGAATATTTTTTTCATGAAAATAACACAAATGATAATAAAATAAAAATCTAGCATGTAGCATTTATATGAAATGATAAGATAGATAATGAATCGTCTTCATAGAATAATCGATAATCGTTTATTAATTAATTAATCCAATAGCCAATTTAGATTAATTATCAACACAAAATTAATTTAAATATATATAACATGTATTATTATCTATGCATATAATAAGTTAGTTGCTTTTACCCATCATTTTCTTCGTTTTTTTTTTATAATTTCATTTGAATTGACTTAAGATTTACAATAATGGTATAATAATAATAATCATAAATATTATAATCATAAATTGTTTTTGTGGTGATGATGTTCCAAAATCATTTAGCAGAGAATAAATCACTAAAATACTTCCTTTTAATGAAAGGATGACTACCTTTGACAAAAATAAATAAATAAATAATCCATTAATTTAATTAAAAATATCGAAACGATGTGGAAAATATAAATAAAAATTAATATCAATTTGTGAACATAGCATCTTTTCTACTCCATCTAGCTAGCTAGGGTCATCGCGTGGCACGTTGGCAGGATCGCGCGTTGCCTCTCCCTACAACACAAATGTGCTTGTCTTGTCCTCCCTTTGGCTCCAGCTTTCCCTTTTTCTTTCTTCACCACCCTGCCACCCACCCCCCACTCTCTCTCTCTCTCTCTCTCTCTCTCACAACGAGCTTCCTCTTCTTTATCTATTCTTCATGTATGGTTTTTCTTGGACCACAACATATCTTGTTCAGTGGTTGATTTCCTTTTTTTTAAAAAAAAAAATTATTAAGCTCCTTATACTTACATCTTTATTTCTTCTTTATTTTATTGAACTCTTAGGTTCTATTTGGGCTCCATTACAAACTTGCCAAGGCTGAAATGCTGGGCTTTTGGTAAGCGAGAGCGAGAGAGGATTTGTGCAGAGACGAGATGGGCGAGGGAAGAGAAAGAGAAGGAACGCCATGCAAGGGCGAAACTGAAAAAAAATAAAAACGAAATCAGTTTCTTTCCGTTTTTCTCCCCATTTCCTTCCAATTTTGGGAGAAAAATGGATCCCACCACTTATAGATTTGTTTAATATTTTTTTTCTTTCCACAGCTTTCTTCTGCAAATCAAATGGAGGAAAATTTTCATTTCCTCCCTATTTTCTTTTCTCTCCCTCACTTTTCACCCTATCCAAACAAGGGGTTAAAATGAATTGATAATATACAGTCGCATATTTCAATTTCTCCATTATTGTTTTAATACAAATTTGAATCTTTCTGTTTTTTTTTAATTAAATTACTGAAAAAAAGCTATTTAATTTTACTTGTATGTCTCTACGTACTGGAATTAGTTGAGCAAAACCCTTTGGCTTATGATTATTAAATTTTTAAAATTTCCTACTGTTGCTTTATTGAATGTCGACCTAAATATGAATGCTCATTCAACAGTGCAAAAGAGTAGCAGTGGAAGCTCCGATAAATGCTTTGCCAGACGATGTCCTCTCTCAAATTTTGTTACCGTTGACGCTCAAGGAGGCAGTAGCAACTAGCATTATTTCAAGAAAATGGCGATTTATATGGACCTGTCTCCCCGTCCTCCATTTTGGCATTGCACATGCCGTGCAACCTATGACTGCGGAAGCATCTACGTACACATAGTCAATCAAGTTTTAAGACTTCACAAGAGTCAATATCTGCAAGAATTTAGCGTCAATTATCCATTAGATGCTACCTCTAGCTAGTAGTCATATTGATGATTGGGTTGCCTTTGCTATTACCGCCGGTCTTCTCAAGGTTAGGATACAGTGTCAGCAACAAGAATTATTCGATCTCACCTGCAAAATATATTTTTGGATACTTTTTTATGAAAAATATATTTTAAAAGTATATATTTTTTAATTTTTTATTAATATTTTAGTTTAAATTATTACATATTTTTATTTAAAAATCAATGCACATTTTTTTACGTAAAAATTTTTATGAAAAACGTAAAAAATAATTAAATAAAATAATTAATAAAAAAATTATAGAATTATAAAATAATTTTATTCTATTTAATTTAATTGTAGGGTAATGCAGTTAGACGAATAATTGTGAGCCTATGATGTCACAAGGGTGGGATTGGGTGAGGGTTGAAAGAGAGATACTAAGCATAGTTGCGGCATTGACTGTGCAAATGTCACCGTGCTTGTTGAGTGTCTTGGACCCATGGGCTCGCGGTTGGGGCCATGGATAGCACGTCACCTCCTCTTAAGGAATAACATGTAGATTGTTTCGGCAGGGGTAGGCACAACGAGATTCCAATTGTCGCTCTTTTTTTTTTCAAAAATAATTCTTGATATTTAAATTTTAAATTTTGTACACACGTTAGGGGGAAAAATAATTTTTTTTCAACTTTAAAATTTTAGAAAATTGAGAAAATAGAAAATAACTTGAAATGATTTTAGAATTTTTGTGGAGTTTCATATAAATTTTATCATGGTGGTTTTGGTGCATGAAGAAACATGAGTTTAAAATTTTTGTGGAGTTTCATATGAAGAAACAGTAAAATTTTAGAAAATTGAGAAAATAGAAACATGTTGCTGCTGCTAAGAAATGTGAAGGGCAGATCCGTCAAATACTCCCTCCAAAAGTTCAACTTAAATTTCTTGATGATGTGGCTTAGATTTTTCTGAAATACAGGATGTGAGATGTTGTGTATATTTAAACTCTCTGAGTATCATGCAATTAGTTATTACATTTCTCTATTGATCAATATTGATAAAAAATTTATCCAATCGCATGAGGTTGAATGTATTTTTTTCTATGACTGTAGAGTATATGTAAATTTTTTCTAATATCTCAGTCAATCAAGTATAATTAATCTAACTTCAAAAAAAAAAAAAAAAAAAATCATAAAAGACAGAGAACCAAAAGGTTAAATGAATCAATTATTTACACCATTATCCAATAAATTTTGACTAATAGAAAGTACTACAAAATTGTTTTTGGCAACTACAAATTACCACGAGCATGATATGTAAGCATTGGCTGGTAATGCATCTAAATAAAAATGATTGGATTAATTTTGTGTTCTCGAAACAATAAATTTCTTGAGAAAACTATAATTTTGATGCTCAATTTTTTCTTTTTGATTTTTTGTTTTTGTTTTAGTGTGTAACTTTAAATTCTTGTATTTTAATTTTGATTTTGATTTTTTTTTTAAGTGTTCATAGTCACCTAAAAGTATGAAATGTTGAACTATTCGAGATAAATTGCTACATGACATCTTTTAATTGTCACTTTGTATTTTTTAACTATCGTGAGACAATTTATTTCAAATACGTCGGTATTTCATATTTTAAGGTAATTGTGGGCATTCAAACGAGAAAAAAATCGAATTTGGGCATTGAAATAGAAGAATTTGTCGATTGGGCACTAAAATAAAATAAATCAAATCAAAAGTTGGACGCTAAAATGTTTGTTTTTTCTTATGCTATCTATAGGAGAAAAAACTAAAAAAATTATTATAAGTTGTTTTAGTACTAATAAATTAACGAAGTACTTAGTACCTAATATTTTTTAGGTTAAACACACTTTGTGTCCTTGCATTATTTAAAATTTTTTTATTATAACTCCTCTATTCAGATATATTGTATAATAAATTTTGTATTACTAGACGTTGGTATAAACCAGATCCTTCATTAACTCTTTATGTGAGATTGATCAAATTTCGTCACTTGACTAATGGTTGACTATTCATGTGATGACACATGTTACATTAAGGATAAAAATACAAATTTCATTTAAAATATATATTTCTTTTTTAAGAAGGAAATATTTGAAAGTTTGAAAAATTTAAAGAGAAGGATTTAAAAATTTGAGAGGTGATTAAGAGTAGTTTTGTAATTTTTTTTGTTGTTTTCCTTTTTTCTATGTGGCAAATTAATCTAACGATCATGTCACATGAATTTTTTATGTTAGTTATCAATTTTAATCATTTTTTAAAAAAAACAATTAGAAAGGTCACATAAAAACAATCCAAATAGAGATGAATAAAAAAAGAATTACGTGAATTATTTTACGAGAATCAGAAGACTAGAAAAACACGTTTCATGTGATTAATCTATTATTTTTATTCAATGACAGATTCGAAGATTTGAATTATCTAACAAGGATACTTATCTATTCTTAATAAATGGAAGTCTCGAGTTTTAGCGGTTGGCCGTGATTTTGAATACTAAAAGTCAAAAAGTTTTTTTTTTTTTTCTACCGTTGATGAAACAAATTTTAGGATTTTGGTGGTTAGTATTTGCAGCCTATTTTTTTTCCAACGATTCAAATTTACAAGTTTGGTGGTAATTAGAGATGATAGTATGTGAATTTAGCAATAATATTTTGGGAAAATTTGAGGGTTATAATTCAAAATTCCCTTTCCCCTCATTGTAAACCCTTAGGTTACCTCTATTGGACAAGTTTTGTCCCATGAGGGTTTTCGAAGATAAACTCATAAAATGTTAAATGAATGTCATGCCAATATGCTTATCCTTCAAACATTGATTCTTGATTCGAAATTCAACAAAATCAAACAATCAAATCAATCATGTTTAATGATATTGTACTCATGTCCATGTATGTTGCTAAATCGATTTATATATCTTTATAACTAGTCATAATTTGAGCATGCAATACTGTTTTGCCCTTATCCTTTTTCACTACTACAAACAAAAGTAGTAAATCAAGATTTCCTTTTTCTTAAATTTTTTTTTCTTATTTTAGCATTCTAATCCTTTTTAAAGGCTTTTAGCAATTTTTTCATAAGTGATCACTCGCCTTTTTACGCGACTACTAACATTTGTTATGAAAGCAACTAGTTACGCAACAAGTTAGACACTTAGAATGCTTTGCATACTTATAATTCAAGTCATCATCCGACGTAAAAGTAAATATTTATGATGAATACTCCTAGTTACTAAGTAACTCAAAATATTAAAGTAGATTTATAATTAATAAGGCCGACTTTCCATTTAGAATGCTTTCTTTTTCTTTTTAAATGCTCACATAGCTAGAAAAAATCTTGTTTACTTTCCAAATCATGCTTAATTATAAAGATAACTGAACCTTTCTAGCTTCCATGTATTTCTATAATCACAATATTCCAAACAATCTCAAATTTCTCATAAGATTTTATGAAGATTCTTCATCAATCATCAATTAAGGAGGACAACATAATAAATATGGCATTCATTTCATCATCATTTTTTTTGTTTACGGATAAATAACCTAAAAAAAAAAGCTCAAACATAAACACAAAAAATATAAACAATCACAAACTAATAAGACAACACAATCAATCCTAAATTCTACCCCATACTTAAACTTTACATTATCTTCAACATAAATACAAAATTGATCATTGACACATGAAATACAAAGGTTAATGGTTAGGGAGCAAACTTGAATGGCGGTGCTCAAAAGGGAGGTGGCAAAAAATGCACGATGAAGGTATTAAAGAGGTTGTTGAGTTGGTTTTCGACCAATTGAAAGCCAAGCACGACATTGTTTTTTACATGCTGGATTTATCGGCTTGGATAGTCGAATTGACTATTGCATGTGATTTGTAAATTATCCTCCCTAGAAGCAAGCTACTCTAACATGTATGATTAAACACTCGAGGTACCCTCTTGGTAAACATTTACAACTGCTTCTTGTGTTCCAGCATCCTCGTTCTTATTTTCCTAGCAATCAAATGATTGCTTCTCGTCTTGTCGTTGAGGCCTTTTGGTTTGACGGTTTTGGTATTTTCTTTTTTTTTCCTCTAACAACCTAATCTTAACTAATTTTTCTAAGTTTAAATGAGTTGTTCCCTTGGTCGAAGTCAATGATGTGGTCCGTCGAATGAGCAACTTTAGCTTTTTAGCAATGTGGGTGACAAACCTATCGATCACAATATCGTATTCACTTGACTTCTTTATTTCTATGAAGCACTCAACAATGTAGTAAACTAAATCAACCTTCATGTTTTAGAGATGAAGTATAAAATTCCTAGCTCCACCTTATTTACTACTCCATTTTTATTTTTCCACCTCTAAAATGTCCATGTCGAACTCGATGGATGAACTGAAATACGGGATCGATCCTTGTTGAGAATTTTGAGCGAGGAGAGAGTGTAGACCTCTTTCTTCAAACTTGTTATTGCCTTCTCAAATGGCTTCCCGAAGCCAAGCAATGAGGTTATCTCACCTCCTCATATGGCTAACCAAATAAATCA